TATCACGGGTGACAGATGCTCAGCTCTGGTCCTCCACAAGAACTGAGCGGGTGAAAGCTTAGATACCTGTAGTCTTTTAATTGCCTCTGGGGTTCCAACAACTGTGTGCTTGGATGTGAAGTATCAAACTGCCACGTTTTTATGGATATTTGGAATCCCTTCAGTGTTTAGTGCCCTAGTCTCCATCACATACCGGGCTTTTGGGTTTATCTATATCTATATTCATATATGTATGTATCTTTTTCTTTAAGCTTTTTTTTTTCTCATGAAGAAGCTGTGGAGCTTGATGGAGAGCTGCCCCGACAGCAATGGTTCAAGTTTTAATAGCGGGATGTTTTGTGATTTATTGGCTTAATCTCTGTTCTAGCTGACAGGACTTTTAATGGCCCTGTTCCTCTTAACAGTATTTTCCCAACGTGTTGTTTGTTTAAAAGCTAAGTGGGAGGAGAGGCATGTGTTGCTTTTTTTTCTTCTTGGCTGCTGTCTGTGTATTCACACTGCCATCACTGAAGCTAGAGGATGAGCTTTTTGAAAACCATTGAAGACAAGGACTGGCGTCTTAGTTTTCTGTAGGAGCACAGACCAATGGAAAGATCTAGAATCAGAGAAGTGGATATTTGTGTGAGTTTTTAGAGATGATCAGGGGAGGTGATTTGGTGTATTATGGGCACAGGGATATGAATCTCCAAAAGGTGGTAGAGATTTTCATTAAAGTAATTGAAAGTACTGTAAAATAAACATGCCTTCTTTTTGCTCACTCATTGAGCAAACATTTGTATAGCTCTCTGGAGAACTTTTAACTTCTAGGATTCCTGTATTCTCAGTACAACCAAATATATAAAGTCAGCACAGCAACAAGCAAGCTAAAACCATCTTTGAATCCAAATAATCACAAACTATATGCTTATTTCAGATTATAATTTTATAATTTAGTTATTAAAAAAAATGGGAAGAAACTAAGCAATTGTAATGATAAAGAATTAAAATAAAGGTACCATTTTGATGTAGGTAACACTAGTGTCTTGGAAATGGAAAAACCAAGGCACAGCATAGCAGGTATCAGGGCGCTGCCTGTGAAATCCTCGGCTGTTCACCCAGTGCCTGCTCGGAGGGAGCCTGGAGCCCATTTCCTATTCATCACTGTTGCTTAGGCCAGCACTGGTTGCAGTTCTTGGGTGCAGGAACTTAATCGAGCTAGCAGACAAGCTTGCACTTTGATTCAGATTTTCAAAATAGTGTTTTTTCTACTTTTGCCATTTCACAGCTTTCAAGTGGTGCCTTTCCTCTCTGTGTCATTATAGAGCACAGAGGGAGAGAGTCACTGTACTTAAAAACTTTTAAATAGTTTCCAGTAGGTTTTCACCTATATTTTTGTGGGTGTCCCAGTAAAGGATATTGTAAGATCAGATGTTTTTTAGTACTTGCTTGCTTTGCTGTACTTTTGGAAGAACTTTCCCCGAGTGATCTTTTCTTGGATGACCTCTCCATACTGTCATTAAAACTTGGAAACTTTGGTCTTCTTGACAGTTAGTTCTGCATTCTCATTATGTTCATTCCTATTGTAAACATGCTAAAGTTGCTGCTGTTATTGCTTAGAATGGATTTTTCCTCAGTTGTTTTGAAGTTTAGTAGAAATAGAAGTTAATCTTTAAGAGACTTAGGCTGGTAATGATTGGATGGCCGAACTTGATAGGTCACGCTGTGTCTGTCTTTTCATTTGCCTAGTAGATGATGTTCTGCTGACTCCAGCTGTTTTTTTGGAAAGCAGAAAAACAATTTGCTTTTCCTTCCCATAAAGTATAACCCTTTGTTTATCCTTGTACTGCTGCAAGTTTCCAAAATGCAGAGACTTGCAAAGAAAAGAAAGGGAGGAAATAGCTCTTTTTTTTTTTTTTTTTTTTATGCTGTTTCTCGTATCGGAGAGTAGAGTTTAGTACTGAGTTGAATTGTTGACCTCTGTGGAGGTTATTATTAGAATTGGCTGATTTGTGTGTGGAGCTGTGTCTGATTGACTGAGTCCAGTTCATGGAACAAACTACCTACAGTGGGTTTGGTGAAGACAGTTGCAGTTTTTCTAAGCAACTTTTTTGTTATTTGATTAATATTTGATTTGAAGAATAATGCTTTTCACAGTTCTTCATTTACTTCAGCTAACTGAAGTAATTGAGAACAGCTCCCTTTTCCAAGCAAGACGTTTCTTTTCGTTACGAGTTGTTGAATGGCTTGCATTTCGTTGTTACCGTGCGTCTGTTGGCTGATACTCCTTTTGTTTTCTGCTGCAAGGATGTTAGGAGGTGCTTGCAGAGTTTGGGAAATGCAAGTGATTGATTCTCAAGTCACTGTAGAGATTTATATGATGAGGGCTATGCTCTGACAGCTCTTAATGCTGTGTTTTATACATAAAAGGGAAAAAAAAAATAAAGTTTGGGGGACCTGAATGTCTTTTCTGACCCAGGTAAGAATTGCCGAAGCAGAAGTGAGCATTACAACCTTACTGGTCGTGATCTATAATGTCATCGGAAGAACACGTTTGTATTTACAACCTAGGGTTGTATTTACAACCTTTTTTTTGCTTGCTTTGTTCCTTAAGAGGCTCTGGCTACCCACATTTTATGCACTTCTGGAATGCAATAACAATTGCGGCATCATCTCTTCAGAATTCGCTTTCCTTCCTGAGATCAAGGCAGTGATAAGGCCTTACAAAATATTCACTTGGTTTTGCTTTCCTGGCCTGAGATGGATTTAATTGGATGAATTGCTGCTTTTCTCCTTCCATTGCTTTATGACCTTTGAAATAGCTTGCTGTGATCTTTTGAATTTTGCAATACTCTCACTGCTATGCTCTAAAAAATGAAATAGAGCTGTTTATCTTAGACAGTATGAACTGTATAGCAGCTGTTTCTGCCCATGCCCAAGAAAATGCCATCAAACGTGTCTTTAAGTGTTGTCAAACGTCAGTTTAAACTTACACCTGTGTGCTACACCCTCCCATGCACCTTCTGCCCCATTTTACAAGCGTTGAAAATAATGCCATTAAACTTTTAGAAGTCTGTTGTCCTCACTAAATCTTCTGGACTGTTTTGGGGCCTGTTCAGAAAGACCCTGATACTGGCAGAAGGAAGGTGGTGAACAGGTTTGCTTTTTCTCGCTGTGGCTGGCAGATCAGTATCAAGAGTCTGACGCAAGAGACTGGGGAAATAGAAGCTTAGTTAGCTGCGTCTTTTTTTTAAAATATGTTGCTTCTTAGAATGCAGTGTAGGATTTTATGCAATAAATGGCAGTTATTGGTTGTATGTGTTCCTCTGAAATGCTCTTTGCCTCATCTCAGTGCTCCTTCTGCCTGTGATACAGGATCAGCAAACCAGGGCTCCTTTAAATGAGACACACATGTCTGTGTTTCTAAACATTTTGTTTCTTGGCCAACCAGTGAGAGAATATGAATTACTAAATTGTCTATATTACCCTAAGAACTGATGAAAATTGAGATTAACCATTTGCTTGGTAGTCACTTAATTTCCCCCAGTCTCTCCCCCCTTATGCAATATTTCTTTTACGCACACACACACACACGCACACACGTGTGTATATATATATATATATATATAAATAGTTTTATATATATATATATATATATATATATATATATATATATTTGTTTTAGTGCACCAGAATGGATTTTGTTCTCGAGAATGGTGTTACACATGTGGCTGACGGTCATCCTAGTTTACTAGCTTAAGTTTGAACACTCAAACTTGTATTTTATTATCAGAGCACTAATTAGTAAACAGTTTTGTGGCTCCATCTGTGTGACTTCAGTATCTGAACTTTCAGACTCTTACCTTGACAAAGGGTCCTACTGAAATCAGCCTGCTGGAACCACGCAGCACGGACGTTTACAGTGGCAGGGCTGGAATACGAAGGCTCAGATACATCAGTAGGATTTGAGCACTAAATACAGGCAAAGGTTACGTGTGGATGTCGAAGGAGCAGCCATCCACCCGAAAGAGCTTGATCTAAAATGACGAGAAAGAAAGGAGGTGAAACAGGACATGGCAATAGGACAGTAATAGCAATTAGGATGAGAGTCGTCATGCTACTTTTAATTGTAGATTACTTAAGCTTTTCATTTAGGTTTAAGCATTATTTAATTGTCTTCGTAATTTAAAATTCTGTTTTTTAAAATTTTAATAGTTAATGGTGTGGTATTCCTGGTTGTTGGTTTTGGGGGGGTGATTTTTTTTTGTTGTTTGTTGTTGTTTTTTAACTCAGACTTTATATATTAAATGGCATTTAATGTGGGCCTGCTTAATTTTAAGCCTTGACATATTTTCTTTCACAGCTATTTTCACTGGCTTTCTATTATAGGAAATTTCACCTTTTAATCCTCATGAATAATTCTCTATTTTATGTTCATCTCTATGTATGTGTATATATGTATTTTTAATGATAATATAAAGGTAATGAGAAGCAGGTGAACAATGGAAACTTTGCCACTGATCTTAAAGGAATTACAGATTCTCTCACTGTGTAAAGTTAAGTGTGTGCAAAAGTATTTTGAGAGGCTAAGGGCTTGTATGTAGAATTATTAAAAACAGAAATGAAAGCACAATGCACCCTTTCATAACACAAAAATCTAGAAGAGCTTGAAGCAAACTGAAACTGTTGACCAAGAGAAAGGTGTCAATCAAGTAAAATTAATTAAAATGTGAAGATATAGAACCATCCAGTCAAACTTAAATATTGCTCTCACTCTACTGTATCAAAATGGCATTAAAAAAATGCAGACTTAAGGCAAAATGAGTATTTACACATAATTAACTGTTCAAAATAGCTCATCTAACCACAGTCTTATCTTTAGGAACAAAAATGCAAGCATTTACTGAGTGATATTAACAATTGAAAGTTTTTTGTTTAGACTTTTTGTTTTCTTGGCAATAAATAAAATTCTTTGTAATAAGTCATTAAGATATTTCTTAATGTTGCTTTTTAAAACTTTTTAGGCTGCTATCCTTGTCCAGGGCCAAACATGAATCCTATTGCTCTTGGAAGCCGTTGGCTTGCTTATGCAGAAAATAAGGTAAGGAAAGGTTTAATTTCAAAAAATACTTGCCTCTTGTTTCTAGATTTCGTTCTAGCTTTTGTGTATACATTGGGGGGGAAAAGAAAAGAAAAAGTCTCAGGAAAAAAGCTATGTGAAAAAAATAATCCATAAGAGGACTTGCGTAACGATGACAGACCTAATCTTTGACCCACACTGGTTGTGCTGTGGTATTCATACATGTCAAATCTTTACTCTGCACATTTAATTTAAGATCATGAACTTGGGGGGCATAAATAAGTAGCATAGGCGGAGAAGACAGCTAGTTTTCAGTGAGGTCACTCAATAATCCACCCATTTTGCATTTAAAAAGTTTAAAGCACTTGATTATAGACACCTCTGAAAAACTGGCAAGTGAAGATTCTGAAGTTCTGTTTGGGGAAACTGAGTCTGGACAGAGCCAGTGAGTTTGTGTGAAACAGCACAGCAATGCGCTTTGTAAATTAGGAACTAGCATTAACACGACCACTTTCTAACATTGCTGAAATTGTTAGGCTCCAGGAAAAAAAAGAAAAAAGAAAATGTTGAATTAATTTCTTTTATTTCTAGAGGCAAAAGAAGAAAATAGATGCCAAGCAAAACAGTTATCACTGTTCTTACCCAGCCCTAGACCAGAGAAGTGGTTGTGTATTTAAAGCTTGAAATGTTTGAAAACTTTAAATTCAACTTCTAATGCCTTATTTTTATTTCAAAGCAGATGTTTTTTCTCCGCTCCACCTATGACTGGAATAGCTGTTTCTAGAGCTGAACCAGAAAGTATCAGAGAGGCGGACTTTAGAAATGTTATTTGTTACACCTTTTCAAGCACAAGTGATTTCTCTCCAAATTCAGGCCTGTCTTTCCTCTAATGCCACGCCTATGTGGTTTTGTAAAATTTAACCAGTCAGCCTGGGATTTAAAAAGTACCGCTGCCAAAAATATAAGCCACTGATCAGCAAAAGAATTGTATCACAAAAGGAATTTAAATGGCTTGTGTATTCCCAGGTATATTGACTGTGGACGTCCCCTTTCTCCCTCATTTAACTCTTTTTATTTAGATGCTTAAATATAAGCAGGAATGGAAAGCCTGTAGAAACAATCACATTTTACAGTGATTTTTATTTTTCTTTTAGCTAGAACAGTTAAGCAGGCAACACGTTCTGTTTGAACCAGCAAATATCTATAGGTTTCTGCCATTTTATTTAGTCAGAAGCACAGATTCTATGGTTAGTTAGTGTTCAAAGGCAAAACCTGCTTTTGTAAGTTGATGTCAGGTAGAAGAATCTTGTTTTGATTTATTAATTTTGAAGGAAGGCAATATAGAGTAAACCCCATGTACATTCTTTTAATCTATTAAATGTAAAGTTTAAAGTAGCTCTTTTCCTTTGTCATTTCTTTGCTTGCTAGTCATAAAAAGCCACACTCAGATTCTTAGAATGTCTGATATTTAATGTTACATATACATGGCTAAAGCTTTTGATTATATTTATTTAAATTTATTTGTGGTATTGCTGCCAGACCAAAAATCCCACCATTTCAAAGTTTATGAATTCTTAGTGACTACTCATCTTGTAATTGAAAACTGGAGTTGAGTACGCGACAGTCTGGGTGGCACCCAGAAGATTATAAAAAGGGGTTAAGTGTCTCAGCAGGGCTTTTTGCTATTTGTAGGAAAAAACACACCACTGTACATGATAAATAAGAGCTATGGTAATGGGTTATGGGTTTGTGTAGTTTAATAGTAGTTACTTGGTTGCTGTCTTTCTTCTTGTAGCTGATCCGATGCCATCAATCCCGTGGTGGAGCCTGTGGAGACAACATTCAGTCTTACACTGCCACAGTCATTAGTGCTGCCAAAGTGAGTACATCATCTGCTGCTGGGAGAGGTTATCATGTAAGATAATTATTAGGTTTCCCTGCTGAATTGTACTGTGTGTCATCGCCCCCCCTGCCCACCCCATTCACAAAAGAGGAAAACACACCAAGAAACACGCTAGCGTTAGCACCACGCGTATGGTCCTGATCTTGCAAATCTGAGTAGTCTTTCTTTTTCACAAAGTATTCCTGTCCTTCTGAACTGATTTTTTAAAATGTATTTATTGCAAACAGATGTTCATATTAGTGACCCCTGTTACAGGAAATACATAGTAAAATGGATTTGTATAATTACAAGTTTACATGGTTAGAAATCAACTTTGTGAATTAGCATCATGAAAACTGACTTTACAAGTGCTTGGTGCTTTTTGGACTCAGTCACATCAGCATTATGTGTTTTAATCTCTCTGAAGGATGACAGCGCAGTACTGGAGCTAATTAATTACCTGGCAGCTTTCTTTGAAGGTTAGGTTTTATTAATGACTGTTTACGTATAGGTTCCATTGCCTGGTTTTCTTAGTTCAGGTGACATTATAATATCCCTCTGTTTTCAAAGAAATGTCTGGGTTTTCATAGTATCAAAAGAAGACCATGGCTTGGAAAAATCTTAAACGAGCCAAAGAGTGTGCAGAACTGTTGTTTTACTATTCCCCCTCCCCGCTCCTTTCCTTGAGGACTTGCCTGCAACATTTTGCCAAGTAATTTCTTTTTCTCACACGCACACACACACAAAGTGAGTTTTGGCATTGTCGGGCAAACTTCGTGCTGATTACAAGCTTTCATTGTAACCACTAGCCTTTTCATTTCTGATACGCACAACAAAACAAATCTAATAATAGGAATTAAATGACAGCACAGAACAGAAAGCTCAGCGTCACTGTAGAAAACAACAGTTACAAGAACCCACAGACAGAGACACAGGGCATGCCATCTCATGTCAAAACAAAACAAAAACAAACATATTCCGTCAGCATAGCTTTGGACACAATCTCACTGTGGCCGGAGGAAGAGAAAAATCACAGCTTTTTACATTGTTGAGGAGAATTTGAATTGCTGCTGTTCTGAAGACATTTGAAATTTGCTGTATTTCTGCACACTTCCACCATCACCATCACATACTTCCATCATCGTTAAAAATGGGGGGAAAATCTCCCCATACACCTTCAATCTCAGCATCATTAACATGGGAGGTTTTTTATAGCACAGATAAGTTTGAAAAACCAACTGGCGTAGCGTGATCAACCACCGTTTTGATCAGATGTGGTAAAATCTTAGAAATGGATTGCTGTACTGCCAAAGCCAAGCCTACTCATGACAGAAAAACAGGCCAAAGCCTTCTCAAACCATATAATGGTTGTCAAAGCATTCCAGCAGGCGTCGAAGACTAAGCACTATTCTATTGAATTTTTTTCAACAGACTAAACAAATCTAAAAAAAGGAGGGCATCTTTTGTAGTCCTTACCCCCAAAGACCATGGATAACTAGGTTTTAAAGGCAGCAAGGAGCAAGTTGATGACCTCGCCTGCTGAGTAGAACTAGCCAAGGATCATAATCCAGAAATTCCCACCTTAAGCTGGATGTGTGCAACCACTGAAGTAGTGGTGCTGCATCATGTGAATAGCTACTGAAGACAAAATGTGTTTATAATCATAAGAAAGAAAATTGTTAGCCTCTGCACAGAGATAAAGTAAGAGTGAAAATTAGGAAAATCGATAATCACAAGGGCACAATCTCTATACTACCTTGTGTTTTGCATAACACATCACTTTTGCTCTCATCTGGCTGTTAAACGTTACTGTAATAGGCAAGATTACCAATAATATCGTTTTAAATATTTGCACAATTTGGCTTGAGTATATCTCAGCCTTACTGTATTAATTTGTTATTCATGTCTGAGTGTGCAACACTAAACCTGATTTATTACTGATTCCATTGAATCTTGGCTTCCTATCTAGCAAGTTTTCATCTCTGATAACTGAAACGCTGACTTGTTGGTCGGTGCTGCTTTTTGGTTCAGAAGTGGTTCCATGGAAGTTCTTGTTTTGTCAAATTATTTCGAGTTACAGCCTTTTCTCCAGGACCCAATTTCTTATTGAAGGAGGTGAAAGAACCTTTATATAAAGGAGAAAGATAAAGCTGAGAGCAAAGAGTAATTTCAACAGGTCACTTTTGAGAATTACCTTTCAGATCCTCTGTAGAAGGCCTCAATGGCAGTGCAGAATATTTACTTTACCAGTATTCCCTTTGATGAGAAATGTTTTTGAATGTCCTGGTAGTGCATGGTGGGTCTGTCCTCAGTGTGATGTACCACTGTGTACTATACGTGATGCAGCAAATAAATTTCCTCCTTAACCAGATAATTCAGGAGTCAGAAGCTCCCCTGTTAACCGAGAATACCAAGGTCAAAATTGTGATTGTGGTGGAGTGTGCTGTTTACTGGTGCCAAAAGCTGTGTTATTCTGGTAACATTATAAAGAATTCCTTTACGTCATCTTCCCATTTGATTATATCATTTCTAGAAGGATTTTATGGTCAACATTGAACTTTTTCATGTTTGTCCTTAGATGCATCTTGCAAGAGCACTGCTTAATAATGTTGTTGCTGGATAAACACATGCATTTTTTCCAGCTCAATCTCTTATTTAAATTTTCCCACATTTGTTTGGCTTTGTCTGTTTCTGTTTTAAAAAGCTCTGATAATTTCTGTAATTCTGACCAAACAGAAAATTTCTGGAAATAGAAAACATGTCAAGATTCCAGTTTAGGTTGATGTTTAGCAAAGACAAAAATTGATGCATATGGAAAAATGAAAATATTGTTCTCTATGGGATAAAGATTCTTTTCACTCCAGTTGAACAAACACGGTAGAATGGATGTCGAATATCTTTCAGAATAAGCCCCATTATTACTTAACAGTAGTAGTGTTGGGAGAATATTCAGGTCCTTGGTTTGAGATGAGCATCCAAATGTGAAATAGCTTGTTATAATGATCCATATTTATCCATTTTGGATGCAGCATGGAAGGTGACACAGGGGAACACATTCTTGTGTCCTCATGCTTGTTGTTTTTCCCCATCTTGTTGGAGAGGTTTGGTCCCACCACGTCCCTGAGCGAGTCCCATTGCAGCTCACGCTCTGGCCAAGTGGTGCTCGCCCAGACCTCCCCCCTCCTGATGTATCCCTGATGGCAAAACTTGCCGTGCTGCTTCAGAAGAATTTCCTCACAGGTTTCTTCCCTCTCCTGCCTCTTTTCAGAATATGTGGCAGGAGCCAGAAAGGGAAACAGCTTTGTGAAGCATGAGCATTTCAACAAACTATTCGTGTGGACTTGAATCTATAATTGATTGCGTGTTCATTTTGTTCAAACTAACCATGAGGCTTTCATGTTGTTGATTACCTAGGCATATTTTTTTGATATCTCTTTCTGCTTTCTATAGATTTTTCATTTGTAACCAAATAAATCGTGTAAAATGTATTTATTATGAGAAACAGGAACAACATATTGTTTTGCCACTAAAAGGATGTGAGACCTTTGTTGGAACAAAACAGCCTGACAGGCACTAAAAGATGCATTTTAATTTTCTCATCTAATTAAAGTTGTACTTATTTTTCAATTAAATGAGGTATGAGTGCATACATTGATTTTAATTAAATATATATCTGTCTTTATATTTGAATGAATGTGAACAGTCTTATTTTTAAGTAGATAGTGTACATCTGAGCATACAGATAATTTGTGTGTTTGTCGTGTGTTTGCACAGTGTGCATCACTGCTTACAAAGAGAACTGGATCAAGTATCTTAATTTTATTTATAAGAAAATTTCACTGAGTACACCCTGGCAAGTTCCCATCAATGACAAAGGAACTGGGACGGTGCAAACTTTAACCTATTTAATTTAAAATGTATTTGGTCTGTCGAATGTCTAGCATCAAATTATAAACCAAGTTCTTCTCACCTCATAACTTCTTTAGTTGATTCTTTCTCCATATCTTTTAATCCTATAGTGGTAAAGCGATTTAGCAAAGGCTGCATCTGTTTTCTCTTGTTACCTGATAACTTCTTAATGAGTACTAACAGCTTATGTGAGAGCAAGGTCATTAGCTCTAATGGATGGAGGGGACAGCTGATATGGCATGGGAAAGGTTAAAGATTACCAGAGAAGTTTTTGCAAATACACACACAGCACAAAGAAGTAAGTGCCGTAATGGCTTGGCACTGATATTTCTGAGCTAATGGCCTCGGCCACGTCTTTGTACACCTATTACTTCTCAGTACTCCTGCAGTCACAGTCTACTCTAACGTGCGACGGTAATTCTCTTTGCTAGATAAGCATGTTAATTTTTTTCTGGAGAGTTATAAATTTATACTTGGCACTTTGCCACCCGATTTCTCTAGTTATAATATTAAAGATATTTTCTAAAATAGGTCAGTTAGGATTCTTGGTCTTTTAACTTGCATAGGTGTTTTGCCATGTAATACTTCTATGCTGATTTCTCTTTCCTGCTGTATAAACTACCAGGGCATTTTATGTGATTTTAACTATTGGCCAGAAAACTGCCTTGTCAGTTTTTGCAAGGAAAGGGCCTGTTGAAATGCATTCTCCTGATGGCATTGGGTCTATTTTAGGTCTATTCCTCAGATATCATTATCTGCTTTATGTTACGTTTTTCAGTCTTCTGAATTTGCCACTGTTACAATTGGTTTTATTCTCGCTTGTTGTATCTGAGTATAAAAAGAAATAATAAGAAACAAATGGCAGGATATTACTAAAGACTTTAAACCCCAAAGACATTCCTATGATAAAGGCATGGCTCGATTTTAAGTGGTAGTATCTCCATTAGCATTAATGGGGTAAGTACATCAGCTGAGGCATCTCAGAGGTTAATCAGGCTTCCTGGCTGGATATTGCCATCAATACAGTGTGGCGCCTAATTCTGTTGGCCCTTCAGAGGTTTTCCTGACAACACACTAACAGACTTTGTGTAAGTCATTTCCTATGAATTATTAAAACAAACGTTTGGCTGCTAATTGATGAACACTAATGTGTTTTCTAATCACTGCAGTTTGAGATTTTAGCACTAAACAAAGCAGTTGCAATTGATTTGTGGCTGCTTCTTGGTTTCAGCCTGTGATCTGTACGTTTTTTTCCTTTTCAATTTAGCAGGCAGCTTAGCTAGTCTTTTAGTTAAGAATTGGCTTGTTATAGTGTCATTTCATTCTGATCTCTTTTGCTATTTCTTATTTATATTGCATAATAAATCTGCTCAATTTTTTATAGGCAAATAAGGCACAGTCCTTGATGCAAGGAGAAAATATTTAAAGTTGTAGTTCGGGTTGTTTTTCTTTAGACCTCTCTCTGTCTCCTACTGTGTGTACTCTCTCTCTTTCTCCAGATAAAATAAAACAACATAAAAAAAATCTTCAGCATCTTTAGATGATAAAAGCCGGTGCACTGAATATATTTTCAAACCCATGTCTGGAAAACATGCAGACTATGGAAAGTTGCATTATTTGTAATGGGATACGTGTGTACTTTGTACAGAGTTGTCCTTTCTAGTACCTCGATGATGGTGATTTTAATTTTGCTGGGTTTGAGTCTCATGTTCAGTTTTAATGCTGCAAAGAGGCATAATTGCTGAGAAACAAATGAATGTGCCTGTCATATCTCTCAAAGGCCAAACTCGTTGTCTCTTGCACTTGTGCAGAAGACATAACTATTTCTCTGTGTAACACTGCTCTCCACACACCCCCATCTTGGCTCCATCGTTTGATTTTTCTAACTATCCGTCCTCTGTGCCTCTTGGAATAAGTAAATAAGAAAGTTACAGAAAAAACCCATAACGTTTAGATGACATTAAAATACTTTTTTTCAGTAATGTTTCGGAAGGATTTAATTCCAAAATAAAGGTGAATACTTCAAATTGGTAGGATGCTAAACTTTTTACAAGATACTTCTGTTACATACAGCCTTTTGCAGCTTATTATCACTTACAAAAAACATTTGTTTTGTGGGTTTCTGGTGTGCAATCTAGTTGTATTAATTGTGTTGAGAAAAAATTCAAGATAGATCCACAAAACAGCCTTGGCTATTATTTACCGGTTCTCTTTCTTTTTACAGACAATAAAGACTGGACTTACAATGGTTGGGAAAGTAGTCACGCAGCTGACAGGGACTCTGCCTTCAGGAGCAACTGAAGAAGAAATTTTAGCTCATAGCAACATTCGTCGAAGTCCCCTGGTGCCTGGAATCATCACTATCATTGATACAGACACAGTCGCAGAAGGGCAGGTAATACAGTTGGCAGAGAACAACGTCCATTAATTTTCATGAAAATCTCAGGAAAATATATTTTATACTTTGGAAAATGAAAAATAGATGAGCTTTTTGCTAGGTCAAAAACTTTTGCAGAAACACGCAGCTGTGATAAAGTCCTATTTGGGACTGAAATTAAGCCAAAATATATATTGTCCTTAAAACATATTTATGTGACACTTTGACAACATCAAGTGTGAAGTGTCACATTTTGTCTCTCTAACACTTGTTCATAATTGACATTGATTTATGCTGATCAGTTGAAATGTATATGTAGTCTGATTATTAATATATAATATGGCTGGAAAACGTGATTGTCTAGAAATATGGTGAATTGTTGAATTCCAGTTTACAAGTGATGAGTGAAGTTGGATTTCGAGTATAAAAGCTTATAATTTTACATAAATTTCAAAACTAAAATGAAATCAAGCATGACGCTGTTTTGTGAGGCATATGTAGTGTTTTACTAATAACATACAGTACAGTGTGTCAGGCAGAATAATTTGTTGAAAAATCCATACCATTATCACACAAGCTTTAAACAGTGTCTTGGACTGTCTTTATGATGGAGAGGGATACCCCTGTCTTTTTTGTTTGTTCCTGCCAATCATTTCATTTTTAAGTGTCTGGTCCTGGAATCAGTGTTTACGAAGGATTCCTACAGCCTTCATCATTCTGGAACTATTTTGTAACATTTTCCCCCTAATGTTCACATTTATTGAATTTTAAAAAGAAAAAAACAACTTCTCTTTTCTTATTTCCCTTAATCTTTGTGATGCTTACTGCAGGTAAGTTAGTAAGGTATTAATGACACGTGTGTAGTCAAGTTATTTTCTTTTCCTGCCTGATAAGAAAATAAAATGTTTTCATTGAAAACAAACAAACAAATCAAACAGAAAACCAGTATGCAGTTTGATCTGTGGTTGTTGCTGAGAATTAGTTCAGAAGTACTTAGCCAAGTGACATTACATTGAAAGAACATTGTTCATATAGCATTAAAGGCCTTTTCCTGAAAAATCAAAAGCAAAAAAAAAAAAGAGGAGAATGGAAGAAAGTGTATATTACTCAGTATGTTACAGAGTCAGGTCTTAAAATAAGTCTGTTGACTGTTGGGGTTTGTTTTTGTTTCCTGGAAAAAAAGGTCTTTTGGTTGTGCCAGAAAAAAAAAAAAGACAAATTTTGCTTCATAAATTTCTCATGAAGCCTTGTTTAATGCGGTCATTATTTCTGATGGTCATTGTCTGTGCTTTGATTCTTCTGCACAGGCCTAGGGGGAAAAAAAAATGATATATCTTAGGTTTTTAAGTCTTGTTATGTATGATTTAGAGGTTTTATGAACTTGTCCTCTGACCTTAACAATAGTAGGGAGCTATCAAGCCTAAAGGGCACTATGGAAAAGTAGTTGTAAAAATGATAACGCTTGCCTTGTCCAAATACTGCTGCTGTAACATAAATAAGCCATCAGTTCTAGTAAAATAATTTTTGTCTTGAACCTCTAGGGAAGGAAACTCTTAAGTTATATATCCTAATTGTATGTCTTGCGTTCAGATTTTTGTAACCTGAGGTTTTAAAATGCTGTTAAATTAATAATGTATTTTCAGTGCTGAGACTTGCTTTCAAAATTAACGTTATATTTTTTTCCAGGAAAAACAAAATAATCTTTCTTTTGCGTTGTTAGATTTTTGTGGTACAGAAGACTTTTTAACAGTCTTTTCCTACTGAAATGTGCATCTAACAAAAAAGAAAGTTGATTAAAAATAAATACATTTTGTACATGGTCTAAAGAAAGACTGTCATTCAACAGTAAAGAACCTCCTAATGTAAGGAGTGTCATGTGTGCTCACAGTCCCCCCTGAGCTCCTGTCCGTCACTCCAGCTGTATTCCTTTGCTGGGTGGAAATGGAAGTTTTTGTACACGCAGCCTCATTCGGACGTGGGAGATTCTGCTTTTGGCAGCTGTGTGGAGTGAGTCGTCCCCAGGAGCCTGGCAGCGATCCCGCGCTGGGGCGCTGGCAGAAGGCAGCGAGCCTGCAAGAAATGACATGCTAGCTCAGATGGCACGTATCTGCACTGGCTGGGTAGTCCTGGCTAGTTTTTATAGCTTAATTGATTGAAGCCTCGGTTCAGGAAAGTGTTTTAGCAAGTCTGACCTTTAAACGAGGCGAGTAATCTCACTGATCTGAATGTGGCTGCTCGTACGTGCTCGTAGTTCAGCATCCTGCGGATTTGAAATCAGGATGACTGAGCCACATTGACTCGTCCTCATTGTATGAATTTCTGAAATTATTTTCCTTTTCTGTGGCAGATTGGTTTGCTGAGAGTAGTTATCCAAACTACGTGATTACTGATGCTTTGGTCGAAATAGAAGTTTGAGCTGATTGACTAATGCAGAGTGCAGCCTCACCTGTGTTTTAGAGACAGTAGTTGCTGTAGAGGGGCACAGTGAACGCCTTGTGTCGTTTAGTCTCAGTTTTCTTGATGCTGTGTGGCAGTGATTTTTCTAAAGCCACTGGTTTCTCATCCCAGGTTTCAGATTCCAGGTGGGAAATATGAGGTCTGGGTGGGTACAAAGAAACACTTAGTGGCACTCCTGCTTTCCCCTGCGATGAAGATGCCTGATCTAGAATATTTAATTCTGCTGGACGGGGCTGCTGCTGGGTGGCTGTGCCCATTGCAAGCATCGGTCTTCCAAAACTGAGTGGGAAACCACAAGAATTAGTAATGCCTACCAAGTGATTTCTGGACTGAATTAACAGTTTGAAAGCATCACATCCCTTTCATCAGAGATTTGTCTAGCAACTCTGTAAATATATTTGGGGGTGCGTGCACGGCTTTTGGAGGTTGTCAGCCTAATTGTAAATGTGGGGAGTTTCAAGAAGCGGGAAGGAGTTAATTACTTACCGTCAGCAGACTCCTAATGTAAAAGGAATACTTCACCTCCTTCAGGTCAATAAAGATTTCTATCTACCTGCACAGCTTAACTAACAATTTGGGTGTTATAATGAAATAGAACAATTTCCATGCAATAAGATGTATCTTTAAGATAACATATAGTAAAAAAAGGAATACACTTGTTTTAAAAAGAAAGGAAATGGAAGAAGATGACAGTAAATTTAAGGCAAGCAAGCATATTCTTCTGGAGAAATAAGGACTTTTTTTTGTGGGGCAGCAGTTCGGGTGTTTATAAATATATATATCTATAAATGTGTATTTATAGAAAGATAGATAAAGGCTTGCAAAGTAATGATGCATGTGCTTGTCCATTTACTTTGAGCATAGCAACACAGGTTTTCAAGACAGTGAAATGCTCTGTGCATGTGTAGAAACACATACATTTATTTGCCAGTAGGATGATTAAGGAGCATGTTTTGGAGATAATCCAGAAGGACTAACTACAGCTTTAAGTTTTCACTAATTTTTTATTATATCTGCCGTTTCAAGGATACCCAATATAAAGAACACGAGATGGAACTCAAGCCATTTCATGAAATCTACTGTGCTACCATAGGAGAGGTTGAAATGCTAGTTTACCACTGAAAAATATATAATTAAAGACCAAAGAAATCTTCTAATGTAATCTTGCAGGATTAAACCTGTAGGAAAAATATCTTTAATAAACCTTATGAATGTAGATATTGTAGTAAAATCTCATACCCAGCAGTTGTTTATGTGATAGGTCTTACTTTCAAAATCAGTGGTACTTTAAGAAAATTTGAATTATGAAGTAATTAAATAAATGCAAAGGAATGTCGAATTATTGAAGTTGGCTGTCATGATATATTTGTAAAGGGAGTAAAAATAATTATCGAGATGCCCAAGTAACTTTGTGGTAAACCAAAATATGTTAACAAGGTTGTGTGCTTGTTTAAACTTCCTTCTAATGAAGTGTTAGCAAACTTTTCAGTTAGATGTAATGACTATTTATTTGAATCTGTTAATTAGTTGAAATGGATAAAACTAAAGCTGTACAGATGTCCTCTTTTTCAGTAATTGGAATTAAATGTGTAAGACTTTAGTGGCTTGAGTTTTAAAGAAAAATTATTTTCTTTCGACCTTTGTTTCTGTATTCTTAATTAATTCATCAACTAGGCCACCCACATGTAGTCTGCAATAATGACCTTTCTCAAAAGTCGCCAGTTTTGTGACTGAATGTAAATCTGTTAAACATCTAACATTTAGTTGACAGAGAAATATGTGGCCATTTAAAAATACAAAACTTGATTCTTAGTGCTTTTGATAGAGCAATGTGATTGATGAGATATCATTGTGTTGCTTTCACAGATCATCCAAAACACATGAAAATATTTGAAGAAATATTTTAGAAATAACTTACAAAAATAAGATAACATGTTGATCTTTTTATGTTTTAAAATGTGATTGGTGCTTTTTTCTGTTCCCTATTAACTTTTTATTGCATTAAAGAGGAATTTTCAGAAAAAAACTGCAGACTGCTGCAGTTTCAAAAGTTCATTTTCATTTGGTAAGGAGTTGATAACAATTGAACCAAATAAAGATGCTTATCGGGAGCAAGAATTGTTGTGAAACTTTGGTCTAAAGCAAAAAGAAGCTAAAAGAATAAAGCGTATTCAATAATAAAACTTTAACTACATACGTAATTCCACTGCTCATTAACACCAGTGCTTTTATTTATAAGAACAGCTTTCACAAAGGCTAATTTGATGTTCTAATGCCCATATATTTGGCATCAGTTTTCTTCACTTTTTATATCTACGTGTATTACAGAAGAATTCTCTTTATATATAAATATAAAAAGAGCAACAGGATTCCCTCAGAGCATAATACTGTCTGCCTTACTTTTATTAAAGGAGATCTGTTTTTTGTCAGGAAGACATTTTTGTCTCAGATAAATGGTTCAGGCTGAGCGCAAGGCTGGTTTGAGTTTATGCTGGATTCTATTAAAAGGAGTGCAGTAGTTAATGCCATAGATTTATCACTTTTAGCCCTTTTCCACTGATGTTTGACCTTAGCTATAAGTTGGGGGAGGCTAATTGGGGGGGGTTGGTATGGAGGGGGTTGGTTTTTGTGCATACATCTTAGGAATGAAGCAAACACTGCCCTAACTTTAGCTATGTAAATCAGTGGAGATCTTAATAAGTTTACATGCAAAGATCTCTTCATCTAATATTCATATTTATAAATATTGCCAAACCTATTTGTTTTTATGATGGTGAGATTGTTCTTTCTTAATGTTATTAAGAGTAGAACCTGCTTGATTAGATTTGTGTCCATTTTTATTTGTGTTACTTTCATGTTTTATTTAAAAACATGTCTCCACTGGGATAAGTGGTGTAATTTGCCTTTAAAGATTAAAATAATTGAAGTCATCATTACTAGTGGCTTCTGTTCAGCAGTATGGAAAATACAGCGAATGAAGAAAAATACGGCATCGGAGTAAAACGCTTTGGCTTTGGCTATCTCTTGCCCTCAAAGCAAACACTAATTTCTGATAGTAAGTGTAACGATCCCCTAGGTGTTTTGTCTGGTTCTCTCTTCAAGCAAGACAAAGAGGACTTGAGTCATCTCGGATCAACTGCAGCGTTCTGCCGGACCCGCGCAGGGCCTGAGAGGGCTGCGGCACTGGCTCAGCACCTCCAGCTGCTGGAATATCGTGTTGCAGCTCTCGGGAGAAGACACTCTTTGGGCCTCAGAAGTAGGCTGAGGGCTGAATTGCGAGGCCATCTTGGTGGAAGAGCCTCAGTGTTTCTTTCCTGACAGTTGTTTTTTCTTAGAAATGCTGTTTCTAGTTGTAATGGTAGGGGACTCTGCGAGGAAGATATTCGAGCGTCCTGATGAACCTCCGTGACTATGCAATTATAAGAGTAATGCTAAGATTTATGAACCTTTTCAGTGAGAGACTTTGTAAGGTCTTTTAATAGTAGAGTGGTTAGAGGCCACTACCTTGGAGAATGAAGCCTATTTGGGATGAAAAAATTGCAACCTCGGGATTCCTGTGGGCTTAGTCTCTCCCCTGTGCATCGGGAAGCTGAATGAGCTGCTTCCTTCGAGCTTTTCGACAGCACTTGCATGCATTATTAGGCAATTTGTTCTAACTTCCAACAAAAATTTCCAACTCTGCTCTTTTCAGTGCTAAGAAACCCTAAACTGGGCAAAAGGAACCAGTTGTACAATGCCAGTATTGACTTAATGTGCCGTTTGTTAGCCAAAGGACAATTCTCTCCAGCACCTCTGCTGATAGCATCTTCCACTTCAGCCTTTGCAAGAAGTGGTTTCTAACATTTGGGAAGCCTGTGTGATGGAGGCCTTGAATACTTCTCCATTAGTGTACAGCTCCGGACTTCTTTGTCTGCACAAGATTTGTGCTATTTGATCTATCCAAATTTATGTAAACCCTGTTATACTAAGGCAGTTATAGCCGCAGTTATATCGATTTAGAGATCTCAAATACAGAAAATTATGTATTCCAGTATAAAGCATTTTGCGTTATAGCAGAATAATTTTGTCTTCCTTAAGTTGTGGACAGTGGTGAAGATCATACTGTGCTTTTAAAGTTCTTCAAGCGCTAAACAGGCATGTGAAGCAGGCGTTTGTCTTGTGGCAGGTTTGGAAGGGACATTTCCAAAGGGGCTCTCCTTTAGTGATGATTAGTTAAGTCAACTGCTGTAATTCCTTTGATTTCTTTTTTCTTTTTTTTTTTTTTTTTTTGACTTTCTTTGTAGTGATAAACTTGTAAAAAGTGATGTATGTTTTCCCCAACTCTCCACTGCAAAAGTGCAGGGGAAGGACATGACAAATCTTGCAGTGCAGCCTGAAGATTTAAATACAAGTTGGCAATTTTTAAAAAAAAGTCCTTTTTTCTCTGTTCCACAGGGATTTATTGTTTCATGCTGATTTTAAAAAGTTGAAGAACATTTTTTCAACTTCATCTTACCTTGCACACACAGGTGTTGTTTCCACGTGTGTGTTTCAGAAGCAAGTATTTCCATCCCATGGCCACAGCGGGTATGGAGAGACAGATTATCAGATGTGAAGGAAGGAGGTGGTGTGGCACCATCGCAGCCTGAGCTTCTCATTCTCCACTAACCAAAGATTTCCATATTTTTGAGTAATAAAGGTGCTTTTGTGGTGTTTTTTGGTTTGTTTTTTTTTTTTTTTTCTTTTTTCTTTTGTACTTGGCTAATGCAGGAGACTAACATATTTTAGCTTGAGGCTGGAAGCTCTGCATGAGCCAGGCTTGGTGGCAGGTGAGGGCTTTCAGGATCCATGAGCTCACAGGAGCTTTTCTTTCTTTCTTGGTTGAACATTACGGCAGTAAGTTCTTCTTCCTTGTATTTCTATCACAAAAAATGGAATTCTGTAACAGCCAAAATAAGGACTGGTTTGCTGTACCTGAAAGTCAGCTTTTACAGTGAAAAGTGAATATTTTTAAAAACACCTTTTAGATTAAACACAAAGGGTGGTTTTTCTGAGAAGGTAACTTTAAGCATGGAATCAGTTAGCATAGCATACAAATAATAGATTTGGTCTTTATAGGTATTCTTAAATTAGTATGTCTGTGGTGTTTTACAATTTTTAATGTGAAATTTTTGCTTTGTATTATATTTCTGGAAGGAAACTATTTAAAGGGTGTCTTACCATCCAGAGTGTTCCTTGGCTGTTGAATAGAGGCTTTATGTTGCAGGGATGGTAACAGTGGTGCATTTATCATTAGGGTTTTTTTTAAAAAAAGCTGAGTAAATCCAGTTTACAGTCTGTAGAAGGTGATGCATGTGAAATATGCTATGTAACTGGTTTTAGCAAAGATTTAGATACTGTTGATACCTACACAGTTCTAGATTATATATTTTTAACAGACCAGATTTTTAAAAACTTTCTATTTCTTTTGTAGAGCTGGTTTACGATGTTACTTTATCATTATCATGTATCTTTAATTAGGGCGAAATGTTTAGGATAAGACCAAGTTACCTAAAAGTGGAAGCTGTGAAAAGATGATGTATAGGAGTTATTTAGTGCAGTTTATATAGGCTGAGAAAAGAACACTGTTTCTTTGAAAAGCTCTTAGGAAGATCTCCAGACCCTTTGGTTAGTGGTTCTGGAATAAGCACGAAATGCTGACAACGGAAAGCAAAACCATAATTGTGCTTATGTGACAGTGCCAAGTAAATTGAACATTTAAAGTAAGTCAGGCGCAGGCCTCTTCATCCATATTACGTGACTTCTTTAAACATTTAAAGATGATTTCTCTTTTTGAAGCATAAAAATATCTTCAAATTATTCTGATATCTGTTAGGAATAGGAAGTATTAAAAACCTTTCAGATTATTTTGGAAGCAGCAGACAAATTATTCTGAACTTGAAATAGGAAATTTTGCACTATCTTATTAAGAAGATGGTTTTTGCTTACCACAGAAACCCTTTTATTAAGTCCCTTTCTGACAGATCTTTATCATTGTTTTACTTAATTTAGTCTTTAACATGATGTAACCAAGGTATCAAATATTTTTACAGCTCTTGCATATGTTTTGTCCACACATCTTTTGGTTCTCTTCTGTAAATCCAAGAATATATTTTCCTTTTTGTACAATTAGACCTTGATAATACTGTGTCCTTTTGGAGGTCCTTTTGTATGTCTTCACAGTCAGCTTCAGTTTTGACTGGCCCAAGTAGTTTTAGCAACTTCAAATAGCCTTTTGTTTAGAAAACCAAAAGCTCATCCTTTGTCCCTTTCTCCAGATGATGTTGCGCAACAGAGACCTCAGTCCAGATACTTCCTTTTCCACTTAATTTCCCTTTGTTGTGAAAACTCTCTCCTACCTTTCAATTGCCTTTTTGTTCACAAGAAGCTCTTTTATGACAGCATGGGTTTTTTTAAGGAGGTTTGATTAACAACCTTTGTAATACTGTTATTTCATGTCTACTGAGGCAATTTCAAGATGGAGAAAAATCTTGTTAGCTGCATATTTTGCAATGCAGCTGCTTCCATACACGCTCCCAGTCCTCACCATTTCTTGCATCGTTTGTAAAGCCAGACACCTCAAGTCCATCACCCGTTACTAGCGGGATGCAAGCTGCAGTGTTCCTACCTATGCAACTGGTGGAAAGCAAACCTGCTTTCTTGGACTGGATTTGGGGTCTGGTTTTCCACTCGCTTGCCATGCATACTTTGAATTCTCCCAAAGAAAATACTGATTTATGTAATGGTTAAGTATTCCCTTTTCTCTGAAAAACTCTGTGCTACCTTTTGTTTTTCTTTCTACTGTGTGATTTCTGTTATTGGTTGGAGAAAATCGTGTGTTGTTTACAGTTGAACTGTGTGTGCTCTTCAGTGTAGTTAGAGCGATCCTCCTTGCCGTAGCCCGACTGCACGGCGCTGCCGAGTCTGGTGGAACGAGAGCGCCTGTTCACAGGAGAGCTGAGTGAGCAGGAGAGCTCCTCTCACGAATTTAGGAGTAATAGACCCTCTCGCTTCTGGACATACGGAGAGGTGCAGACCCTTGGTTCAGCCAGCAGCGGTGGAAACCTTAAGTGTAGCTTTCTGGTGCACTGCAGACAGACTTCTTTTGTAATAAGCTTCTACGCATCCATTAATACTTTATGTAGCAAAACAGTAATATTTTTCCATTTTGCCTTATTTCAATGGGATAAATAAATAGGGAATCCAGGCAGGAAGTGCATAATTCTTTCTAGTTAATAGTAGGTTATTTGAGCATGTCTCATATGTCTCTATCTGAAAAAAAGTACAGAAGATCGTTTGTGTTTAGTTCTCATGCAGTTACATTTCTAATTCATACCACTGTGTGTATCTTATAAAACAACTCCTGTATCAGTAAGTTGGTATTTTCTCTTAGGCGTATTTTTATTTCCTAACCTTCCTTTGTCTCTGTTAATATTATGCAGGTACTTGTCAGTGAGGACTCTGATAGTGATGGTATTGTGGCCCACTTCCCCGCACATGAAAAGCCTATTTGCTGCATGGCTTTTAACCCTAGTGGTAAGTTATTTTACTGTTTTAATGTGATAGTTGTAAACGAGATGAAGACAGTATAATGTCATAGGTATGTGTTCATTGCTTTGGAGAAATTGCAAATACCATTGTGATACATGCAAATATCTACTCACTGGTACTAGGACTGTTTGACCTGTTCTGTTGAGAGAGACTCTGTCATACACTGGTTAATTTTTCTTTTCTTGAAATTTCAAATTTAAGCAAGTGTTACACTATGGTATATGTGAGAAGATTCAGTCTGTCACTTGGAATGTAGCAGAAGTACTAAGGAATAGGTTTCTGTTGGGTATCCTGCCAGCCAGGTATCCAGATGTTCTGATATGCAGGTATCCAAAAGATTAACACATGTGTTAAATTGTACTCCTCCATAAATATGAAAATAAAATTAATGGTTTCATTGGCACTGTCTTTTAAAGAAACTTGCACTGCTGTTATGTGTTTTCTTGATGAAGAGTTTGTGATTCTACCCTCACTCTTGAGAGAAATCAACTATAATCTGAAAACGCTTACAAAAAACTCCTCAAAAGTACCTATTCCTCTCCTTCCTCTTTATAAATGAACAATGACTACGGGCAGCAGAGATAACTACAAATCTTGTCTGTTTATAAATCTTATTAATTTGACAATTAATATGTTTATTACTCTACCTATGGACAGCAAAAAAAAAAGGGTTTGTTTGACTGCAGTGGAAGTCAGTGAAATGGCCAGCGAATCAAGAGCTTCCATTTGCCTGAATTAACCATTTCCAAAATGTAGCAAATGCCAGGAAGATCTTGAGGGTGAAGTCACATTTCAGTGAATAAAACTAAATGTCTGTCATTTATATTTTCACTTTTAGTGACCAGTTGGTCTTATTCTGACATCCCATCTGTTATGTCAGAACTCTTTAGTACTGCTGTGCAGCTCACAGCATTTTCACTGTGAGTTTTTGACATAAAAAACTGTAGTCTCATCTGTCTGAATTTTCTCCCGATACTTGTAAGAATTTTTTTGTGTAACTCTGTGCATTTAACTGAGAATCTACCATGCCAATGCCAGAACAGTAATATTTTTGCTTTGGACTCTGGTAGAAAGATAATACCTAGAGTTGAGCAATGCTAATTAAGTGAAATAAATACAGCTGCTTAAATTAGAAGGCTTTATAGATATTAATTAAATGCCTCCTTAAGACTATTTATATAATTGCATAAATGTAAGGGAAACAATATTTATGCAGAAGCCAATTAAATCGTTATTTTATAAATTGAAGGATATATTTGCATATTATTGGATTACTTGTATTATAATCAAGTTTTTGCTCAGGTACTAAAATTAAAATCCTTTGTATATGATACAGCAGACTGGTACCTCAGATCTAATGATGCCATAAGATACCTAATGGCAAAGCGTTTTTTCCAACTGGTGTTATTTTTGACTGATTGCAAATTAGGTATGTTGTGAGGTATTTGCAGGAGGGATGATTCACAGCAAGGTATTGAATCATACCGCATGTTCTGGGTACAGCAGTATCAAAACAGTTGAAAACTATTGCCTCGGCTTGCTATGAAAGCAGCACTTAATGCAGGATTCTGTGTTCTGTATTTAACATCAAGGCGGAATTTTGTTTGAAGCCAGCGTTGTAAGTAACATCATCTTAATCCATTATATAGTGGTATATTGCCAATCAAGCTGATCTTACTACAAAGCAGAACAGAACAAGAGGTGGCTTTTGATACTGGCTTCATCTGTTGGCTGATTGTAGTGAAAACCCATTTTCCTGTGTAGTGATGCTGCACTAGAACATAGCAACTGCAAACCTTTGCTGTAAAAGCAAACAGGGAACACTGATTTGTTTCAGTGAACTGTTTTATTCTCTATGGCTGGTTAAACAGCTTAATTTCATCATATGTCATCCCAAGGGCCCATGAGCTCCACAGGTATTCAGGTCTGTAAAAACTTACCGGACTGTATTTGAAAAAAAAATCCAAAAGCCACCACTGACACTGGAAACCACCGAAGGTCAGTGGATATGGAAGATGGATATATATCCAATTTTTGTGTACCAAACCAGTAGAACAGTGCCACAGCCACTTTCAGCTGTATTTTAAAGGTGTCGGTTGCCAGTAAGATACATTTTTGGGGTTTGTGCCATTTATGTTTTCATACTGAACAAGGAGCTTGCTAGGGATAAGTTAAATGTGATAAAATAACAGTGCAGAATTTATGGGTATCATTGTGGGAATAGCTCCTGGTATAATACATTGCTTCACTGTAGGATCATCAGAAAACAATCCAATGGGAAGGAAAGAGACTCACTAATGGCAGTAAATGCCAGTCATATTTTTTCCCTAATCTTTTTGAAACTAGGAAGAAATCCTTTACTGCACTTACCACGTCCAAGATATTTTAAGTTGTAATTGGCCTGACTGAAAGTCTGTTGCGAACAATGCAGGACTCTTGCTGATACCATGTGTGCCTTTTTTGTTGGCTTTTTTTTTACTTTGCTTTGGTTTTGAGGATTTAGGGGTTGTGTTTTCCTCCCAGCAAGGTAAATAATCTCTGTGGAGTTCCGAGCTGGGTTAGCTGGCAAGGATTGCTTGCTGTACACTCAGCCTTTCACATTAGGTGCTTTACAAGGCAAAATCATGGAGGAACAAGCAGGGCCAGCTCTGCATAGCATTTCATTGTGCTGTATAGACATTTCTATCGTGACTTTTGCTGGCATTAGATCTACATTTTGTTTAAATTTAAGGCAAATCTATTGAATTTTTTTCTTTCCTGTTTTTGAGATATTCAAAGATAGAAGAAACGCCATACGGTTTGGTTGGTTGGTTGGGTTTTTTTGGTATTGTATCTATGGCTACTCTGAAAATCTGGTTGAATACTAAAATAAAAAACTTGAAATATAATTTCTGAGTATACTTAGGGGGCACCATAGGGGTTTTTTTAATGCTGCCTAGCATGTCCCTGTACACCTCTTCCAGACCCTTACGTTAATAAAAGCTTGCTTCTGAGTCGGTTGATTTTAGGGAGACTGTAAAAGGCTCAGTGTAAGACATACAGCAAATCATGTTTAACATTAGAAAGAAAAAAAAAAAATATAACAGAAACATAAAGAGGAAAAACTGCAGTTCCTGGTAGTTTAGGTTTTCTCTGTGTTTTTTCCTGTATACATCAAATGTCAGTTTTCAAAAAAAGTTGTGATGGTTTACTATGGAGAGTGGGTTGCTGGTTGGGTTGGGGTTTTTTTGGGGGGGAGGAGGGTTGGGGGAGTGGGGGGTTGTTCTGCAGCTGAAAATTTTCAGCCAGGCATCTCATCCACAAAATCCCTTAGTCCTATGGAATTTCTAAAAGCTGGCTCCCTGCATATATTGTTATTGCCTCTCTGCTTAACATTTTTCATTTTAGTAGGTAAGATATGTAGTAGTTCAATAAAAGTGAAAAAGAACTGGTCCTCCCTTGCCATTTGTTGCTGATTGAGTCTTTGGGAAGCAGAGATGAAATGCTAACTGGGTCCTTATTCTAGCGGTAAAAATAAAAATTACGATGTGAGCCCCCTTAATCCAGTCCCTTTGGCAGTTGTGTTGTCAGCTCTGGTGGCAGTGTTTCTTCTGGCCGGTGGACACACTTCCTATATAACATTCTTGTTCTGGTTTTGGAAGTGTGCTTAATAAATCCAATTCCAAGCTTCAAGTTCAGGTGACTTGGCACTATTACTTGTTTTCTTTTTCTTTCTTAATTGCTGGATTATGAGTATTTCGTGTATCTTTTTCTTCCATAGGAAACTGACAATTTTTCTATACACTTTATTGGATGTCAAAATCATGATTTATTTATATAATGCCATGTATGCCCGTGGTTGCTTTCGTGACTTACAGGAAGATAAGGTCCCTCCTCTGAAGCCCTTGTGTTTTGTTTTTTGTTTTTTTTTTTAAATCTATCCAATGTTGAATAAATTAAATAAGTGTTATAATAATAATTTAGCGTTGCCAAGTGCCATGGAGGAGATGCTGTGTATTAACAGGAAAAAGGGATTTGATTTTGCAGAATATAGCTTAATAAGTATTGCATACACATGGTGTTTATTTTATTTTTTACCATGAAGCGGCGCTTGCACCACAGTGTGTGGCAAGGCCACTTGCCTGTGAGAGGCCTCGGTGCAGGTGACGGCCAGAAATGGGCTCTTGGCCCCGGAATAATTCCTGCAGCTTGGAAATGGCCAAGAAGCCGGGTGAACTTTGCGGGGAGCTGCAGCCCACTAGATGATGGGCTGGGCGCTGCGGATCCGCAGGCTCTGTTGAACGGCAATCGCTGAATGTCCTTTGATTGTAGCACTGTTTCGCAGTCGATGGGGGGAATAATATTTCTCCAATCTCGCTGAGAAGGACCCACGTCTAAGAAGGAAGTCTTGGGCACACAGAAAGCCTTGCGAGGGAAGCGAGCTGCGTTCGGAGAAGGTTTAGTTCGTGTTGGAATGCCCGACTGATCGGCTGCGCAGAGCGGCTGCTGCAGACGGGGTTCAGAGCACCATGTCCACTCCTCCGTTTCTGGAGAAAGGAAGGCAGCTCCTAACTTTTAGGAAGGCTTAAGCCTTTTAATAAAACTTCTCCAGATGAGAATAAATAATACAAGGAAGCAAATTCATATTAATAGACTGGGGACTTTATTAATGTACCTCTGGCATGTATATTGATGTCGTGGAAACCAGAGGCTTACACTTACAAAGAGGTTCCTAAGAACAGTTACTTTAATTCACTTATTAAATGCAAATCGCATTAAGCTTTTGTGTGGATGCTTTTACTTAGTGTTAACATTGCCTTGATTAATTTTAGCTTGAATATTCAGTTTTGGATGAATTAAAGGTCAACTTACTATGGACAGAGTGTCCAGAAAAAATTTAGTGCGGTTTATGAATTTATGTTAGGTAGTTTAGATTAATTTTTCAGACTGCATCTGTGTAGATATGCTCCCAAACCTACACATTCTATTTTTCCTGGTTGTATTTT